CAAGGTGAAGCAGCAAGTGCTGATGTAGAAGCTGCAGGAAGTTATCCAGAAGATTTAGCTAAGATAACTGATGAAGGTGGCTACACTAAACAACATATTTTCAATGTAGACAAAACAGCCTTATATTGGTAGAAGGTGCCATCTAGGACTTTCCCAGCTAGAGAAGAGAAGTCAATGTCTGGCTTCAAAGCTTCAAAGGACTGGCTGACTCTCTTGTTAGGGCCTAATGCAGCTGGTGACTTTAAGTTGAAGCTAATGCTCATTTACCATAGTGAAAATCCTAGGACCCTTAAGAATTATGCTAAATCTACTCTGCCTGTGCTCTGTAAATAGAACAACAAAGCCTAGATGACAGCACATCTGCTTACAACATGCTTTACTGAATATTTCAAGCCCACTATTGAGACCTACTGCTCAGAAGAAAAGATTCCTTTAAAAATATTACCGCTCATTGACAATGCACCTGTTCACCCAAGAGCTCTGATGGAGACATACAAAGAGATTAATGTTGTTTTTATGCCTGCTAACACAACATCCATTCTGCAGCCCGTGGATCAAGGACTAATTTCAACTTTCAAGTCTTATTTAAGAAATGCATTTCGTAAAGCTAAGCTGCCATAAATAGTGATTCCTTTGATGGATACGGGCAAAGTAAATTGAAAACCTTCTGGAAAGGATCCACCATTCTAGATGCCATTAAGAACATTCGCAATTCATGGGAGGCGGCCAAAAAATCAACATTAACAGGAGTTGGGAAGAAGTTGATTCCAACCCTCATCGATGACTTTGACAGGTTCAAGACTTCAGTGGAGGAAGTAACTGCAGATATGGTGGAAATAGCAAGAGAACTACAATTAGATGTGGAGCCTGAAGATGTGATTGAATTGGAATTGCTGCAATCTCATGATAACACTTTAACAGATAAGAAGTTGTGTCTTACAGATGAGAAAAGAAAGTGGTTTCCTGAGATGGAATCTACTCCTGGTGAAGATGCTGTGAACACTGCTGAAATGACTACAAAGGATTTAGAATATTATATAAACTTAGTAAACATCAAGGCAAGACCCTCCACCAGCAAAAAGATTATAACTCATTGAAGGCTCAGATGATGGTTAGCATTTTTAGCAATAAAGTATTTTTAAATTAAGGTATGTACATTTTTTTTAGACATAATGCTACGGCATACTTAACAGACTACAGTATAGTTTATACACAACTTTTACATGCTCTGGGAAACCAAAAAATTCACGTGACTCATTTTATTGCAATACTCGTTTCATTGTGGAGGTCTGGAACCAAACACACAATATCTCCAAGGTATGCCTGTATTACATTAAATTTCTCATATGTTTTGTGGTCATTGTTTCTTTTCTAGAAAAATATTAGTTTCGATTATTCTTTTTCTTATACTAACTTATATGGTGTCATGGATTGAGTTGTGTCTCCAAAAAATGTGTGTCATGAGCAGCCATCTAAGATACTCCACTGGTCTCAACCCTTCGGGAGCAAGGGAGAATGAAGAGAACAGGATACAAGGAAAAGATGAGTCCAAAGGACTAATGGACCACAGCTACCATGGCCTCCACCAGACTGAGTCCAGTACAGCTAGATGGTGCCCGGCTACCACCACTGACTGCTCCGACTGGGATCACAAAAGAGGGTCCTGGACAGAGCTGAAAAGCATGTAGAACAAAATTCTAACTCACAAAAAAAAAAGACCAGGTTTACTGGCCTGATAGACTGGAGAAACCCTGAGAGTATGACCCCTGGACATCCTTTTAGCTCAGTGGTGAAGTCACTCCTGAAGTTCACCATTCAGCTGGGGACGGGACAGCCTCGCAAAACAAAGCAGGACTAATGAGGCACAACAATCCAGAGACAAGGACTAGAAGGCAGGAGGGGACAGGAAAGCTGGTAATAGGGAACTCAAGGTTGAGAAGGGACAATGTTGACATGTTGTGGGGTTGTTAACCACTGTCATAGGGCAATATGCGTACTGTTTAATGAGAAACTATTTGTTCCGCAAACCTTCATCGAAGGTACAAAAAAAAAAAAAAGAATTATCTATGTGAGATCAAATTCATAACAGCAACTCAAACGGTTTGATGGGAAGCCTAGGGGGCAGTGAGTTGAAGATAATGGTGATGGAATAATTTGGAAAAGGATAGTGAGAATAGCAGCACAACTGGAAGAATGTAATCGATGTCACTGAGTTGTACATATAGAAACTTTTGAAATGGTGTAACTTTGGCTATGTATATTTTCACCAAAAAAAAGGTCCTCCAAGGTCGAGAAGGGAGAGTGTTGACATGTCGTGGGATTGTTAACCAATGTCATAAAACAGTACGTGTAATGACTGTTTAATGAGAAACTATTTGTTCTGTAAACCTTCATCTAAAGTACAATAAAAAAAAATTTTTTTTTAAAATGTCAACTTGGTTAGGCCATGATTTCCAGTATTGTGTGGTTGTCGTCATTTTATGATCTAATTATCCTCCATTTTGTGATGTGTTGTAAATCCTAGCCTCTATGCCTGTGGTTATGGTCCCATTTGGGAATGAGATGTCTGTTATGTTAATGAGACAGGATTAGGTCATGTTAATGAGGATTAGGGTGAGATGCAACCCTCTTACTCAGGTCGCAGCCCTCAACTGATGTACGGGGAGTTTCCTTGGGGTGTGGCCTGCATCACCTTTTATCTCAAAAGAGATAAAAGGACAGAGAAGCAAGCTGAGAGAGAGGGACCGCCTGTCACCAAGAAAGAGCCGGGAGCAGAGCACATCCTTTGGACTCAGGGTCCCTGCGCTGAGAAACTCCTAGACCCAGGGAAAGACTGATAATGAGGACCTTGCCCCAGAGCCAACAGAGAGAGAAGCCCTTCCCCTGACTTCTAGGCTCCTAAACTGTGAGAGAATAAATCTCTGTATGTTAAAGACATCCACTTGTGGTATTTCTGTTACAGCAGCACTAAATAACTAAGACATATGGGATGTGACCATGATCCTATCCTGTTGCTTATGTGTAAGAGGGGAGAATGGGCCAGGAAAGCTTCATGGCTCTAGTGTTATCTCTTCTATTGTTAACATGAAATATTCAAAAATATCGCCTTATATCTTCTGAGATATGCTTCCTCTGTTCCCTTCCTCCATTTTTATCTGACCATTTCCTTCCTTGGCCTCTAGGATGCCTATCCTCTCAATCTAGATTCTACTCTCAGCTGTTATCTCTTCAGTGTGGGCTCTGTCCTAAAAGAGAGATTTGGTTGATTAGTATTAGGAGTTCATCGGGACCAGATCACCGCAGCACCATCTAATTGTTCTGTGTTCCCCTTGCATCCACCTGTGAATTAGAGCTAGTAACACCCTTTCCCAGTTTCTGTTGCTTTCCTCAAATTAGCCCATGAACTTTCCATGTTAAGTAGGGACCCCTCCCATTTGGCAATTTGTTTTCTGAAGTCCCTTTACTGTCCCTTTGTTCCTCTCCTCACAGTTGCTGCTGATACAATACCAGTCTTGTTGCTGTCTGTGATTTGATCCCACTCATCTGTATTTTTTAGGTTTGTGGAGACAATTTGTTACTTCTTATTATTATTTTTGGTAGATGTAGTCCATGGGTTTTTAGTTTCAGTTTTGCTATCCTATTTATTCTGTTTTTATGAGGGAAATTCAGAGAGTTTCAAAACTACCCTACCACTTTTCCCTAAATACTCTGTCAGCATAGATGCCCCCCACCCTGCTACCCTAAACCCACATCATTCTCTAGCCAGCACCCTGTTATTTTCTTGATAGTATTTGTTTTTCATTTGTTTATTCCCTTTCTTCTTCCCATTTCAATGTAACTTCTGTTAAAACAGAGACTTTGTTTCGCTCACCACTATAACCACCAACATCTAGCTTAGAGGTTTCCACAGCAAGAACTCAACAATACAAATGAATGAATAATGAATAAATGAATGTTTGCATGGACAATGCTGCTAATTCAGATCTGTGGAGAATAAAATTTTCCTTAACTTCTCAATATCCTTGCACACAATATTTCATAAAATAAAAAGATTATTTTTATTCGCATTAAAGCCTACGTGGATTATTTTTTAATTTTATTTTATTTTTGGAGCCCTGGTGGCACAGTGGTTAAGAGCTTACGGCTGCTAACCAAAAGGCTGGCAGTTTGAAACCACCAGCCACTCTGGAAACCCGATGGGGCAGTTCTACTCTGTCCTACAGGATTGCTATGAGTTGGAATCGACTCGACAGCACAGGTTTGTTTGTTTTTTTTTTTTTTTGGTTTTGGGTTATTTTTTAAATCTTTAAGATAATTCATTTAATCTTTTTGTTCAGAAAATGTATTAACTGCATAAATAAAAAGATGTAATTCATATTTTTAAGAAACTAGGCAATGATTTATACTTTGTAATTTTCAGTATATTTCATAGAATTTACCAAAAAAAATAAAAAGTAGATTCTAACTAACCTTGTGTTTCTCACGTTTTCTCCTTTTGGATTTTTTCTTCTCTCTTTCTTTCTTGTGTTTTTTTCTTGATTTTTTGCAGGCTTTGTCACTTTTCTGCTTTTCATCCTCTTTTGCTTCCTGTTCTTGTGTTTCTTCAAATCCTGCATCATCTATTTCACCATCTTCTAATTCGCCATCTTCTCTGTAGAAGACAATGAAAATTTTAATTTTTTAAATGCCAATTATAAAACAAATCTAACAGAAATATTTTCAACAGAAAAAGCCTGTGCCAATGATTTAAGTTACATATATTTAGACCAGAGGTTGACAAACTTTTTTCTGTAAAGGGCCAGATGGTAAATATTTTATGTCTGTAGTCCACGTATAGCCTCTGTTGGAAATTCCTTCTTTTCTTTTTACAATCCTTTGAAAATGCAAGAACCATTCCTGGCAGTCAAAATTTGCCAACCTCTAATTTAGATTAAAATCACTGGCTCTCACGAATGAATTAATTAATTAATGCAGTGCTATCCCAAAGGACCGATAAAGCAGTATCATGATAAACGGAGAAAATATTGAAGTTGTCAAGGATTTCATTTTACTTGGATCCACAGTCAATGTCCATCGAAGCCCCACTCAAAAAAAACACCCATTGTGTGGAATCGATTCTGACTCATAGCAACCCTATAGGACAGAGTAGAATTGCTCCATAGGGTTTGCAAGGCTATAAATCTTTACAGAAGCAGACTGCCACATCTTTCTCCTGCAGAGCGGCTGGTGGGTTCGAACTGCCAACCTTTCAGTTAGCAGCTGAGTGCTAAACCACCAGGGCTCCTTCCATGGAGCAGCAGTCAACAAATCAAATGACGTATTGCACGGAGCAAATCTGCTGCAAAAGACCCTTTAAAGTGCTAAAAAGCAAAGATGTCACTTTGAGGACTAAGGTGTACCTGACCCAAGCCATGATATTTTCAATCACCTCACATCCATATGAAAGCCAGACAATGAACAAGGAAGACTGAAGAATTGATGCCTTTGAATTATGGTGTTGGAGAAGAATATTAAATATACCATGGACTGCCAGAAGAACAAACAAATCTGTCTTGAAAGAAGTATAGCCAGAATGCTCCTCAGAATGGTGAATGGCGAGAATTGGTCTTGCGTCCTTTGGACATGTTACCATGTCCAAATCATGATGAGGCCGTGGAGAAGGACATCATGCTTGGTAAAGTAGAGGGTCAGAGAAAAAGAGAAAGGCCCTCAACAAGATGGACTGACACAGTGGCTGCAACAATGGGCTCAAACATAGCAACGTTGTGAGGATGGTGCAGGACCAGGAAGTGTTTCATTTTGTTGTACATAAGGTTGCTATGAGTCAGAACGGACTCAATGGCACCTAACAACAACAACATTCTAAAGTATGTCAATAGTTACCATCTACAAACTACCTTCAAAACGGAAGTTAAACTAAAATATTTAAGGAAAAACACTAACTACAGAAGGGAATTTTTAACTTAGTGGCCCACAGACAGCTATGAATAGCTTTAAAATAAAAGCAATCTATTAATTCCTACCAATGGAGTAAATTTCAGTAAGAAAACAAATTTCAAAAGGTAGGTAAATAACAAAATCCAAGCCACAAAAGCAGAATATCAAATTCATCAACTTGAATCTGTGAAAATATTCATAGTAAAATCAGAAATCTAATTCCACTTTCCAACTATTAGTATCTTTGCTATTATAGGGTCTGAATTCTAGAAACAAACTGATTTTTATATTGATTATAACATTTTTATAGTTATAGAAGCCAAAATGTTCATTAACACTATTTTATGCAAATAAACCAATATTCATGGGAAGATGAATACAAAAAATAATTTTAACACTTAACATGCTTCAATAACACTACAGTTTGAAAAAATGCAAAAATACTACAAATAACATAGGTAGTACAGGAAGACAAATGTCTTTGTATGACTGTCAGCAAATGAGAGACATCCAAACTATGATGTGTGCATTTTTAAGATAATTTAAAATTACTAGGAATGTGCAGTTTCTACAATGCAAAACTAACAATGCTATTCTTCTGATAAAAAATATTATGTCTTGAATTTGCTTCAAAATAACCTACAGGGTATGGAGGAAGTGGTCTCCACAAGACTGGCCATGAGTTGATAACTGCTGAAACTGCGGTATGTGTATACGAGGATTCATTCTACTATTCTCTTTATATGTGTTTGAAGTTTTCCATAATAACAAAACAATCTTCAAAAGTTCCCTTCTGACCCGAAGATTGAAAACTCCTTGACACTGCCAAAAGGCCCTTTATAATTCAGATCCTGGTTATGGATAGCAGCAGAACATTGTCTGATATAATGCACGAAAATGAGCCCCTAGGGTTGGAAGGCACTCAAAAGATGACCGGGGAAGAGCTGTCTCCTCAAAGTAGAGTAGACCTTAATGACGTGGGTGGAGTCAAGCTTTTGGGGTCTTCATTCGCTGACGTAGTACGACTCAATTTCTTTCAATTTCTGAACTCTCCAAGCCTTAAACATTGCCTAAAAACTTTCATTGCCCTGCTCACCTCAACACCCATCCCCTACCTCCTGCACCTAGTTTAGCAGTCAAAGTTCTTTCTCTAGCTAACCCTGCTCAATGAACCAACTGTACAAACCAGTTCAGGGTTGCTGAGATCATCCATCTCTGACGCCAAATGTATGATGGTTAACAAATTCCACTCCACACAGGAGCTGCACCCTATGTTATCTCAGCTCCCCTTCCTGGTCAATTCAGACCCCAGTTGCTCCACGCAGCCCTTTTCTCTCATCCCCATTCACTCAGGGTAGGTCAGTGAGTACCAGCCCCTTCTCTATTTCTTAGATCTGATAATCCATTTGAATGACTCACAAACCCCAGGGATAGGGCTATCTTTTGTCTAGTAGAAGAAAAGATACACATATACAGGGCAAGGTCCGGGAGGGGTTTTGGTACAGAGCTTCTATGTTCCCAGGGCACGTGCTTATCCTCCAGAGAGCAGATGCTTGGTCTCTCCACCCAAGAAGCTCCATAAGCCTTTATTGGCCTAACTACGTGGCCATGATAGGTTACATCATGCCTCCTGATGCTTAGGCAGCATCAGGCCTCCAGGTGATCCCCCTTGGTCTTGTCAGCCCCCATTCATTGGCCTCAGGTGATACGACTCTCAGGCACCAGGTCCAAAGGCCAAATTGTTTACTGCAAGGGATTCCACATTTCACACCTGGCTAATTCCAATTCAATCTTTAGGACCCATTTAGATGTCACTTCGTCCAAGATCCCCAGGTCTAGGAGATGTTCCAACCTAAGTACTCCTCTAATAACTATTATTTCTCTTATTACTGCACTTTATACTTATGTTCTAATGACTTGTTTATTGGTTGGTGAAAGCAGCGTGTGTGACTGTGTCTTTCACAGCAGAATCTCTAGAACTAGCATGGTGCACTGCTATTTACTGAATGACTCAATGTATAATATACACACCCCACTGCATTACAGAACAGGCACATGATACCACCATAAACATCCCCCTCCCCCAGCTTTTATTATAAAATCAAGGAGGTATATCCATTCAGATAGACTTGAAAATTTCTTGTGAGGCATCTTGGCATTCTAGCTGTCTCAATGAAAAGTTCTGAATTTTTATAGAACTATAGAACTTTATGGCCCAAGAGAAATGGTGCGTATATTCATGAAAAGAAAAGAACAGCAGCTTTAGTCACAATAGTAACAAATTGGAAACAACCCATCTCTATCAACCGGTGAACTGATAAATTGTGGTATATTTATATAATGCAATACTGAAAAAAACAAAGAATTAACTACTGCTACACACTATATAGACAAATCTTACAGATATAACAATGAGTGAAAGAAGCCAGACACAAGATACTAATACTGTATGATTCCATTTATATGCATTTCAAGAATAAGCAAAATATATTTATGGTGACAGAAGTCAAAATAGTGATTACCTCTTAGAGAGATGTAACTAACTAAAAAAAGGTACTAAAAAGTCTTCTAGGGTGTCCACAGATTCTATATATTGATCTGTGTGGTGGTTATACCATTACATATGTGTGTAAAAATTCATCAAGATGTACATTTAAGAATTGTGCACTTTACTGTCTATACAATTTATACCACAATAAACTTAAAATACAAACAAAAAACCTTTCGAACTTTTATCCTCTTTTACCTCCTCTCGCCCTCCCAACCTGAGCTCCTTAAAGCATAAAATGTTTGTCTGAATATCACCAATTCATATTTAGCATTTTTGAGTAGAGCTATTTAAATACATAAATTACTGAAGCTGATAATGCTGTATACAAATTTATGTCCTATATTACATAAATTCTTTAAGTGTAAAATATGGGACATTTATATTTGTTATTAGACATAAAATACTGCAAGCTTTTTCTTTCTTCTCCCTTATCCTATTCATCATTTCAGCATTTATACAATTAAGAGGCTTAAATTTCTGAATTAATGTTTGGTTACAAAAAATGAAAGGGTGAGAAAGTGTAAATAAAGAGCAACAATCCATACTTCTATGAACAGCTTCCAAATATTTAAAAAAATCAACTTTGGACACATTTAAAAAGCATATCTGTGACATAATGGAAAGAAAAAATGACTTAATGATGAGGAAAGCTGGATTTTAATTTCAGCTCTGTCACCAAAATAAAGTTTTCTTGAGTGAGCACCTACTAATGTATCAGATATGAATACAGCTCTGTGGCTTTAAGAAAAAAAAAAAGAAGAAATAATAGAAGTAATGAAGAGTTTGGCATTTTCTAGATTTTTAGTTAGCTCAACACTATTATGAAAGTTATTTTGTTTACTAAATCTAAGATTACTTTTTTTAACTTGATAAATCAAAAAGTGAAGCTTCTAAGTTAACTATATATAGATGACTTATTATTAATAGAAAAATAACAGAATGATTATGTACTTTTCAGGATAAGAGGCATTTCATGTTCATGTGCTAAAGATTGGTACAGTAACTGTCCAATTAATAAGCAAATTTATTTTTTAAAAGATCTCTCTAAGACAAATCCACAAGAGACTCAAAGTAGATTAGTGGTTGCTAGGTAGATTAGAGGGAGGAATGGGGAGTGACTGGGAATGGGTACAGAGTTTCTTTTTGGAGTGATGAATGTTCTG